CCACTGCAAAAGGGGCAGGTCACCCACTGCAAAAGGGAGCAGATCACCCACTGCAAAAGGGAGCAGATCACCCACTGCAAAAGGGAGCAGATCACCCACTGCAAAAGGGGCAGGTCACCCACTGCAAAAGGGAGCAGATCACCCACTGCAAAAGGGGCAGGTCACCCACTGCAAAAGGGGCAGGTCACCCACTGCAAAAGGGAGCAGATCAGCCACTGCAAAAGGGGCAGGTCACCCACTGCAAAAGGGAGCAGATCACCCACTGCGAAAGGGGCAGGTCACCCACTGCAAAAGGGAGCAGATCACCCACTGCAAACGGGGCAGGTCACCCACTTCAAAAGGGAGCAGTGAAGCAGGTCAGTTGCAATCACCGAAATATAAAGGTCATACAGACACACATGCCAACGCTTTTCATTTAAAAATACAATCGACTTCTGTTTGGTTGATTTCTAAAAGGCTACCACTGAATCACACAAAAGCACCAGAAACATGTTATAATCACACAGTGATAGGGAGCCAACATCTACCTTGTCCTGTGGGCTCTTCAATAGCGCTGCTGCGAGAGTCGCCGTCTCCTCCTGCACCTCTTCAACATCTTCTGTCCCGGCTCCGAAAGGGAAAGAGGGGGGCAAAGATGCCAGAAGATCCGACCAGAGGCATGAAAGAGCTGCTTTCTAAACCTGCCCTTGCATAGGGCTCTCACCTCCTTCCCCCTCCCCAACTCCTCTGCTCACAAGCTGGGGCCGGCAAGCTCAGTAACTCCGCATTATTCGTCACTCCGAGCCTCCACCCTCTGATTGACCAACCATCCAGGGAGAAAGAGCTAGACAAGTGTGTGTGAGAGAGAGAGAGAGAAAGGAGGCTGGGTCTGGATTTAAAGGCATCTCCTCAACGTCAAGCTGTGCAATCCTTTCCCAAATCCCCCTGCTGTGCCTGCAGGGTTCTTTAACTGCATACCCTCTCCTGATAAAGCTGACAGGAGCTCAACAGAGAGAGAGGGCTAATAAAAAGACACCGCTTTAACCGGGAGTAGTGTGTCACTATTGGAGCTCAGTGAGAGTTTCACTCGTCAGCGTTAGAGCCCTCCACAGTCCAGGTTTCTCCAGGTAAGAGTTCTTTAAAAAAAAATCAATAAAGCAAGTTTCGGAAACAATAAAACTGTAGAAGGGTCACTGGACCCGAAAAGTTAACTCTGATTTCTCTCTACAGATACTGCCGGATCTGCTGAGTTTTTCCAGCAATTTCTGTTTCCGATTTCCAGCATCTGCAGTTCTTTCGTTTTTTTTTAAAGAAATAAATCAATTCTGTTCATTTATGTGTCTGCCCTCTTGTTTGTTTGAAATCTCCATTCTACAGGGTGGGGGTAGGAGATCCTCAGGACACGAGGGCAGGCTCAGAGGAACATTGCAGGGCTTTGTGGAGGGGGTGGTAGTGCCCGTACTTCTGACCCAGAAGGCCCGGGTTCCAGTCCCATTCTGCCCCGGGGAAGCGACCTAACACGTTCAAGTAAGTTTTTCAAAAAAAAATACGGAAACAAGAATAAAACAGAAGGTGCTAAAGAAATTCAGCGGGTCTGGCAGCATCTGTCGACAGAGAAGGACAGCGTTAACGTTTGGAATCCAGTGCTCCCTTCGTCAGAACTAGCCAGTTCGGGCCGAATGGTCTATCTCACCGAAAAAGGGGTTTAATTCCCATCAATGGGCATCAGGATATTTTGTTTAGAGATGAGAACTAGGAACCTAGTGATTGCAAAGACCACAGTCACTCGACTGAGCACTTTGACACAGAAGTAGGCATAGGCACTAAAACAAAAATACTGCTCCTCCACATGATTTGCTGAAATTATTTCCTACATCAGGAGGGAGGATGTTGCTCTGTGGAGATTTAATGGAGATTTCCTTTGGTACAGGACGAAGGCAGTTGTGTGCATATGTACATATATATATAATACGTATATATCTTATAAATAATTCCTATCTGGGATTTTAGTCTCCTGTTCACTTCTATCTCACACCGATTCTACAGCCTGATGCTGCTCACACTCGCTGCCTCTTTGTTGAACTCGAATTACAATTCAGCTGCCCGCAGATCATCATTCCTGCAATACCAGGTAGAAACAAGGCTGATTAAAAATAAATCAGAACATTTCCTCCCCACCCTTATTTGCAAATGTGTCAATATCGTGTGTATTCCCCGCGGTTGACACGATTTCGCTCTCCATCCCTTCATGCCACCGTTTGATTGTTTTCCCGTTCAACCGAGCGGTTGGTTGATGGAGATTTGAGATGTTCAAACTGGCCTGTAGCTCACCCTGCACGCCGTGGTGTACCGGTTGGTGAAAGCCGAGGGCTTTCTGCACCTTCTATTCAACTGAATTGTATCATTTATTGTCACGTGTATTCAGTGTAAAAATACAGTGCAAAGTGTGTACATACGTGGCGCTATACAGTAACTTAAGAGTAAGACAAGAAAAAAAAGATAACTTGAGAGTACAACTTTCCACTGCCGGAGTCCCAAGTCCCTCTGCCCCGGGACATTCTGCCACCCTCAGTACCTGATCCAGTGCAACTAGTAACACGGTGTTCATGTAGAATTACCAGGAATGGGGAGAAACATCTGGATAACTTGATTACTTAGAACCAATCAGCACAGAGGGAGACCATTCTGCTGCTGTTGTCTATGCTGTCTCATTGAAAAAGCTTTTGTCTAGTTAGTTGCATTCACTTGCAAATTGTTGCCTTTCCCATGGCCAGCCTCTTCTTTGATCATTGAATCCCTACAGTGTGGAAGCAGGCCATTCAGCCCACTGACTCCATATTTACTCTCCAAAGAACATTCCTCCCAGACCCACCCCTCCACCCTAAATCTGCAACCCTTTATTTCCCATGGTTAACCTACCTAGCCTACACATCCCTGAACACTTTGGGCAATTAAGCATGGCCAATCCACCTTAACCTGCACATCTTTGGACTGTGGGAGGAAACCGGAGCACCCAGAGGAAACACACACAGACAGGGGGAGAATGTGCAAACTCCACACAGATAGTGGCCCAAGGCTGGAATTGAACCCGTGTCCCTGGTGCTACGGGGCTGCAGTGCTAAATAATGAGCCACCATACCACCCAATAAGTCTATGAGACTTACTACGATCTCTAATAAAACTCAGAACTTGTCTGCCTGGACTGTTTCAGCTGAAGGGGCACATCCATCAGGGGCAATGGTTGCTTATTTGGTGGGCAGTGCACGTGCTGAAGATCTGAAGCAAAAACAGGAATTGCTAATGAAACTCAGGAGGTCTTGCAGCATCTGTGGGAGGAAAGCAGAGTTAATGTTTCGAGTCCAGGGACCTTCTTCGGAACTGACAGTAGATAGGGAAAGATGGTATTTAAACTGATGACAGGTGGGCTGGGTTGGGGGAAGGGAACAAGATAAGGTGGATAGGTGGAGACGGACCCCAGAAAGAGAGAGAGAGAGAATGGTGGGGTACATGGTGGATGAGAGACAATGCTTGTGTGGATGCTGATGATGGAGTCAGAGTAGCTGTGGATCAGAGAGAAAGAAACAGCAGTGGGGAATGGGTAGCCCAGGATCAAAGTTACTTGGGCTAGAGAGAGATGTGATGGGATTGATGATGATGGTAAGAAGAGGAGAGAAGCATGGGAGTGGAGCCATAACAAATCATCTCCACAAACAAAAGATTATTCCTCCAGTAAAAAGCAATGGGCAGGGAATAGTTTGATAAAAATGTGGGAGGACAATCGATGCCAGTCACTTCCAGCAAGGTGTTCTGTTGATTGGAATAATTCAAGACCCACCTCCACTCGAGCCATATCTTGTGGTACCATGATATGCAGCTTCAGGTTATTCCAGGCCAGTCACCCCATTACATATCCATCCTCTTTATCCCCTTGTTCCACATATAACACCATCGCATGTTTTCATTTCATTTCCAACACAAATAAAAGCACATTGCTGAAGAAACTCAGCAGCTCTGGCAGCAGCTGCAGAGAGAAAGCAGAGTTAACATTTCTGGTCCAATGACCTTTCTTCACAACTGTTTGTTTCTAACCTGTTCTGATGAAAGGTTGTTGATCTGAAATGTTAACACTGTTTTCTCCTGATAACGTTACAAAGTTTTGCTCTTGATGAGTCATTGTTTCAGTGTGTTCATAGAATGCTTGATAATTGCTCACTGTGTAAAGGCATCACTGGCTAGGCCAGCATTTATTGCCCATCCCTAATTAGAGTCATAAAGATGTACAACGTGGTACAACTCGTCCGTGCCGAACAGATATCCGATATTAATCTAGTCCCATTTGGCCCATATCCCTCTAAATCCTTCCTATTCATGTACCCATCCAGATGCCTTTTAAATGTTGTAATTGTATCAGCCTCCACCACTTCCTCTGGCAGCTTATTCCAAACACGCACCACTGTCTGTGCAAAAAATTTGCCCCTTAGCTCCCTTTTAAATCTTTCCCCTCTCATCTTAAACTTATACCTCTACTTTTGGACTCTCCTACCCTGGGGAAAAGACTTTGGCTATTCACCCTATCCATGCCCCTCATGAGTTTATCAGGTCACCCCTCAGCCTCCGACACTCCAGGGAAAATAGCTCCAGCCTGTTCAGCCTCTCCCTATAGCTGAAACCCTCCAACCCTGGCAAGGTTCTTGTAGATCTTTTCTGAATCCTTTCAAGTTTCACAACACCCTTTCTGCAGCAGGGAGACCAGAACTGTATGCAGTATTCCAAAAGTGGAGTAACCAATGTCCTGTACAGCCACAACATGACCTCCCAACTCCTATAGTCAATGCACTGACCAATAAAGGCAAGCGTACCAAACACTTTCTTCACTACTGTGTCTAGCTGCAACTCCACTTTGAAGGGACTATGAACCTGCACCCCAAGGTCTCTTTGTTCAGCAGCAATCCACAGATTGCCCTGGAGAAAGTGGTGGTGTACACCTCGAACTGCTGCATTCCTTGGAGTTTCCGGACACCTATAGTGCTGTTGGGGAGAGCCTTCTGGGATTTTGGCACATTGACAGTGAAGGAAGCTGCAGGTGATGATGTTTTCATGTGTCTGCTGCCCTCGGCTTCCAGATGACAGAGATTGCAGGTTTGGAAGATGCTGTCTAAGGAGCCTTGGAGAGGTAATGTAAGTTATCATATGAGAAAATGCAGCAGCTAATTTGTGAATAGGCAGGGGTCACAAGCAGCAGTGAAAGAAACGATTCGATTTTATTTAATGACTCCTGTATACAGGGATGATTGTTGGCCAAGATACTGGGAAACATGGGTGGTATGGTGCCTCAGTGGTTAGCACTGCTGCCTCACAGCGTCAGGGACCTGGGTTCAATTCCAGCCTCAGGTGACTGTTTGTGTGGAGTTTGCACATCCTTCCCGTGTCTGCGTGGGTTTCCTCTGCGTGCTCCAGTTACCTCCCACACTCCAAAGATGTGCAGTTTAGGTGGATTGGCCACACTAAATTGCCCGCAGTTTTCAGGGATGTGTTGATTAGGTATGTTATAGGGGGATGGGTCTGGGTGGGATGCTCTGAGAGTCAGCATGGACTTGTTGGGCCGAAGGGCCTGTTTCCACACTGTAGGGATTCTATAGCTTTTCTGTAAAGTACCATGTGATCTTCCTTGCTTACCTCCATCCCAGCCTTTGACTATTTTATTATTTCAAAGGTGGCACCTCCAACAA